GCCTATGGCAGTTGAGCCATTGTGTGCCCGAGTGCACGTCTTCTACGGAGGGGTGGATCCCCGGCACCACTGCTGTGTGTGTGTGTGTGTGTGCGGCATGTGCATTTTGCATCCAAACACCGTGTTTCCAGTGTCCTGCTAGGTTTGTGTGCGGTAGGGTTTCTCGGACTTCTGGATTCCACAGTATAGTAGCCTCTTCCCCATGTTTCTTTCAGGGTCTCCTTATTCAAACCGAATACAGGGAAAAAGGGTATAGTTAGTATTGATATAAGCGGCTTTATAATGAGAATAGGGTTTGGGGGTATATCATACTATAACTATGATAAGGAACCCCCAAAACCCTGTTCTGATTATTAAGGCCCCTACAGTACCCTTGATATCAAGGGCCTACTGAGGGGACCATGGTGGTCGAGTTCTCCAAAGGTGCGAGGCACCTGCCTGGAGTTGAAAGCTCCTGAACTTTCACGCCGTGTTCGGCAACTTCTCCAATTTTTTTAGGGCTTTTTAAGTTGGGATGACGGTTTCTTTGTTCGTCTGCGCGCCTCGGCTCCCAAGCGGAGATTTAGGGTTTAGGGTTTAGGGTTGCGTTTGATACTGTTGATAGTATAAATCCTGAGTTACCATAAGGACCCTAAAACTATGGGGATTGTGGTATATCCCTTATTATGGGTGATGCAGGATTTGTATCATCAACCGTACCAGTACACAGGGGCCTGATGTCTGCTCTCCTTTTATAGTATACGGGCCCCAAAACCCTATTCTTCTAATTATTAAGGCCCCTATATTATGCATGTTTGTTTTGAATATGCTTTCGTTTGTTTCGGTGATCCCCACTACAAAGAACCTTCCCCCCCAACATGCAAAAACAGGCAACACACACTAAAAGGTTAACCAAGAACCTTCAAGTGAATAGCTCGATCAAGGACCTGGAAGGCTTCATAGTTTGAACATGATAGAGAGCTCTAAGGAACAATAATACTTGCTATGTAGGCCCCATGAATGACACCCCTAATCCTAGACTCTAAAAACCTAACTCCAGAAACCCGGACTTGTGTGCCTCGGTTCGACAGCCATCCCTCACCGTAGAGTAGGGAAGCAAACCTGACTCCAAGTAAGACTGGGGCTGTAGGGCTTGCGGCTGTAGGGGTCGGGGAGGAGAAGAACATGCACGTTAACGTTAACACATACGCGAATGCCTAGTATTCGGTCGTTTGAGTATGTATGCATATATAATGGCTGAAACAGTAAAAAAAACTCATTCCCGTATCGTCGCAGCATACTTTAGGCTGACACTCCGTAGCAGTTTCGAAGGAGGAGGTTTGACATCACAAAAAGTTGGACCTTTCTTGTTCGCATCCCGCATCCCCCAAAGTGCGGGAGGAAGCCTCTTGCTAGGTGTAGAGGTTCATACCCTACGAGAAGTAGGTAACACGGAATCTGCGACAATTGTGGGGCACGTACTCAAGACAAAAAGCAATCCGGGATTGCGTCCATCACCGCCGAACTGCAAATGCCCTGTGAGTTTAGGGTTTAGGGTTCCGGGTGTAGGGTGTAAGGTACCAGTTGCACTGGACGCGTCGACCAATACTTAGCCAATCTAAGCACCGAGGTCAGTCTTTCTGATCGGGCTTTACATGAGGGATTCGGGCTTCTGGGTGCAGGGACTTCAGTACCCGGTACCCCCCAACTCTATCATACCCCCCCCCCCCCCTTCCACAAGAAAGACACGGCTTGTGGCAGTCCTTGAGGAGCCTGGGCATACGCTTTAAGCTCTGAGCCCTAAGCCC